AGAAGATGGCAGACGCCACACGGTAGGGTGAGCAAGCAACAAGATTTTGAAGGGCAGGGCCGTGTGATCCGTATGACCTAACCAGCATCCTTTAATTAATCCACTCTCCTCAGGCATGGTGGAAGATGTTGTCCTGTCACCAGCACCAGAGGTAAAATTCAGCTTTTAGTTTCCTCGAGAAAGATAAAGGTCCTACCAGGAAAGAGAAAGCAGTAAAGACAGAAAGAAATGGTAAAGCAAGCCTAGAGTGGTTGTTCGACTAGATAGTTGGGGTATAAATGCAAGAAATAAATAAAATAAAGAAAGAAAGGCAAATTTGTTTAAACTGCAACTGAATATAAGAAAAACCAAGTCACATCTAAAATACAAGGAAAACCCCTTCATATTCAAGGTGACGACTAGCGAGGGAGAAACTAGAAGGGAGAAACACAGGAGATGCTGATGCAAGCCAAAACTGATAACCATAACATCACTAGAAGATGAAAGAGAAGACATTTAAGGCAGGGAAGGTTAAACTTGTTTAAACTGCAACTGAATATAAGAAAAACCAAGTCACATCTAAAATACAAGGAAAACCCCTTCATATTCAAGGTGACGACTAGCGAGGGAGAAACTAGAAGGGAGAAACACAGGAGATGCTGATGCAAGCCAAAACTGATAACCATAACATCACTAGAAGATGAAAGAGAAGACATTTAAGGCAGGGAAGGTTTCCTTGACTGCTTAACCCTGTTGTTCTATCCAGGTATGGACATTATTACTATTATTTATTTGATTTATACCCCACCTATCTGGGCGACTCGTCCACTCTAGGCGGCTAGACATGTTCGAGGCCCCTTCTTGTCCAGCGGCTTCTGGACCTGTATTTCTGAACTCGGAAAGCGAGCACTGTCCCCTGCTTAACCCATAATGGGGGAAACTGAGCAGGTAACTGTTGTTCTATCCAGGTATGGACATTACTATTACTATTATTTATTTGATTTATACCCCGCCTATCTGGGCAACTCGTCCACTCTAGGCGGCTAGACATGTTCGAGGCCCCTTCTTGTCCAGCGGCTTCTGGACCTGTATTTCTGAACTCGGAAAGCGAGCACTGTCCATGTCTCCTGATGCTTCTCTTTCATCCACTTGGGTGCTTCTTCAGGGAGTTCATCATGAACAGACCTGGAACAAAACAGTATTTATTAGTTTGGATTTAACATGGTTAGTCTTCCAGGCTCATAGGAAAAGAGTAAACCACCTATTGACTGCCCTTTCGCTGTTCTTTCAGTGAGTGGAAGGTTCTTGGTTACAGTTTAGTGACCGGTGTTTTCTCCTAATTTTTATTATCTAGTTTTACCTTATAACAATCTCAATGAAGTTGAGAACATGCTAGGCTTGAAATGTTCTTCCCCCATGAAATTATCTTGCCTGCCATGATCTAATTCTGCACGTTATGTAATTAACGAGCGAGCGCATTAAAAAGCAGAGAGCCAATTCTGCCCTCCCGCAGTACTTTGTTTTCTGGGCAGCCGATCAAACAACACTTACAAACATGCTGTCCACACCCCGCAAAATTGTGGTTTGCTTTGGTTTAGCCACTCCAAAACGGGGGAGTTTCAATCCCGACCCAAAGGGCCGAGTCCTCAGCAAGAAAGGTTGTCAAGTTGGGGTGAAAAGGTGGCATTTCTTTACCAAGAGTTAACTATTTAAAACTGTTTGCCTCATCCTCAAGAGAAGGTTTTATATTAAATTCTGATTTAAATTGTGCAATAGCCTGCAGCAATACGAGATGGTGCAAAACTATTGTGCAACTCTTGAGCACTGTAGATAACATCTTAGCGACATCTCCCAATGAGTTTACGTCAGATTGGGATTCTGTTTTTCCATATTTTCACTGGTACAACACTACCACCCCCCAATTTCTACATTTTAATTTTAGGGAGGGGTTGAAACTCACCAGTACAACACTTGATCCATAGGGAGTCCAGGACAACCCCGGGCAGGCGTTGGCTGTTTTGGCCAGGACTTTCTCTCCTCTCTGTTTTATGCCAGTTTGGGCAGGTGATACAGAGTTAGGGAAAGTTGCTGTGAGTCCAGGTGATCAGTAGAGGGGTGGTGTGATTTAAGGAAGGCTGTTTTGAAGGAAGGAAGGAAGGAAGGAAGGAAGGAATACCCACTGGTTTTAGCTGTGCTAAGATTCACCAAGTGTGGTCACAGCTCTTGTACTACAACACCCACCCAACCTGGCCAGCCAAGCCAGTGGTGTAAACGACAGATGTTTTAACAGCCTCCGGAGGGCCACAATTTGAATTTTGAGTGACCTGCCCTTTGCCCATCCTGGCTATGAAAATTGGCGAGGCCCAGCGCAAAGCAAATGGGTAAGGAAAAGATTTTCCCCCACCTCCCACTTCCGAGTGGTGGTTCTCCTATAGGCACCTGCTTGGCTACTGGAGCCATCAGAGGTGGGACTCGAGAGGCCGTCAGTCGGGGCTGCCTTGGATCCTCTTCACGGCTGATTTTCACAACAGTTGCTGCAGCATTCCACTCTGTGTATCTATTTTTACATCCATGACATCTCCTCATAAACATGGGTAAGGAAAAGATTTTCCCCCACCTCCCACTTCCGAGTGGTGGTTCTCCTATAGGCACCTGCTTGGCTACTGGAGCCATCGGAGGTGGGACTCGAGAGGCCGTCAGACTGGGCTGCCATGGATCCTCCTCACGGCTGATTTTTCACAACAGTTGCTGCTGCATTCCACTCTGTGTATCTCTTTTTACATCCATGACATCTCCTCATAAACAGCTGATATAACTGTAGCACCCTCGGCCGCCCTTCTGTCTTCGTTTTCGTTTGTTTGTGGAATTATCTGTGCATTCTTTTATTATTTTAGTTTCTAGTTTTTTCTTAATTATGTAAACTACCCCAAGTAATATTTTACTAAGTTAGGTAGTTTAGAAGATGGATGGATGGACGGACGGACATTAAGAGAAACAAGCTGCCCAGTAAACAGTTTTTGAAATTAGTAAGATGTTTTATTTCTCGGGCAATCTTTTTGAGATTTTTCAAGGAGTTTCCAGGTTCAAGGAATGAATGACACAACTACTGAGTCCAATTTAAAAAAAGGGGGAGGGGGACTCCCAGCTGCAAATTAGCTAGAAGTTCAACCGATTCATTCTGCTGTTGCTCTCTCATCATAGAGAGATTGGAAAAGGTTTCTTACCAGACCTCCATTTTCAACCGGAGGCATCTTCCTTTGCTCGCCATGGATCCTTTGGGGAATGTTTTGGGAACAGATACTTCAGCGTAGGCTCCCTTCACTGTAGTTTTGCTTTGAGTATGTTTTGTTTGAACAGAAACAGCCCTGCGGTGAATATTCAAAGCCAGCGAAGGGGATGATGAACCCAGACCAAGGGAACAGGGCAACTGGCAGATTTGTGGGACGTGGGATGGAAAACAGACCCTTATCAGACGTCCCCATCAGTTTCTAGATTAAGATGGAAATTCTTTCCAAAGTGCAATTTAGGTCATTAGAACATCTGAATGCCAAATCCCCTGCTCTGTGTACATGACAGAAAAAAAGAGAGGGATTTACGGCTTGTGCTAAAACAGGGACACCACTTGGTGCCATAGCCAGGGTGTAGGCAAGAGAGGGTTTCCACCCACCCCCCACCTTAGGAATCCTTTTAAAAAATAATTAATTAAAATGTTCCCTCAAGCTACTTCAAAATTTTGGGCCTCTTAAAATTGCAAAATGCCCTTTCTTCTCCCACTTTTAAACTGTTTCACAAAACAGTCTTCCTCACCAGGCATCCTCTTCTGGATATATGTGTGTGTGTGCGTGCATGCGTGTGTGTGTGCGCACGTGCATGCCTTTGTCTAGATGCCTCAGCCTCAGAGTTCATGCCCCTTTATCAAGCATAGGAGGACAAGTCCCTGCCCCAAGGACCCTCCGTACAGTTTAAATATTGACAAAGAGAAACAACAAGTCGAGGAGAGGAGGGAAAAGAATACACTGCTCCTTTGGTGACATCTACTGAAAGACCCCCTGAACAGGTTCACACCCTGCCTCTGGAGTAAATTTGGGGTCTGGGGTCCATCCCCTTCCCCTCACATGAAGCAAACCTATCAATAGAATTGTTGTTGTTGTTGTTGTTGTTGTTGTTGTTGCTGCTGCTGCTGCTGCTGCTGCTGCTGCTGCTGCTGCTGCTGCTGTTATATACCATGTTTCTGCAAAGCTGCATCAGAATGCTGGATTTCAGTCACTCAGTGGTTCCCCTCAAGGCAGGGGTGTTGACACGTCTGAGTCGCTGGAACTAAGTCCCAAGTTGCATGCCCCAGGTTTGAGTCCTTGTTAAAAACAAACTCTCCCACCCCACCCCACCCCCCGAAAAATGGAACGGGTGGGTGGGTTCCAAGTTGCAAGTTGAGTCTAGGGCACTGAAAAAATATTGTTGTTGTTGTGTAGTCGTTAAGTCATGTCCGACTCTTCATGGCCCCATGGACCAGAGCTCACCTGGCCCGCCTGTCTTTGGCCTCCCTGAATTGGATCAGATTCATGTTAGTCGCTTCACTGACCCTGGCCATCCATCTCTTCCTCTGTCGTCCCCTTCTCCTCTTGCCTTCACTCTTTCCCAACATCAGGGTCTTTTCCAAGGAGCCTTCTCTTCTCATGAGATGGCCAAAGTACTGGAGCCTCAGCTTCAGGATCTGTGTGTCTTGATGGGTATTTTGTGACTTCAAGAGGAGCGTGCTGCTTCGTTTTGTTTAATTTTTGCAGTGATTTCCCAGATCTACAGAATTCAATCCACTTTCACTTTTAATCCCATCCTCTAATACGGAATAGACCATACACGCCCAATGGTCTCTGAGGAACCATGGCGTTCTGCAGATGCTTGGGATTACAGCTCCCATCAGCTGCAGTCAATGGTGGACCAATAGCTGGAGTGACACGTGTCTCCAGCCACTGGGCAGATGCTAATGATCTCTTAGCACCTCTATCTGTTTCCTTATCTTCCAGGCTATCCGATGCACTCTGGTGAACTGCAGCTGCCAACAATTCAAACCGGGGAAAATAAACCAGCGACAGTGTGACCAGTGTCGGCACGGATGGGTGGCCCATGGTAATATCCCACCGTGTGGAGGAATCCCTTTCCAACTGGAAGCTTATTGGACAACAGATCAATATGGAAATCTTGTTCTCAATTTATTAACAGAGATATTACAAAAAACTCAGGCGTTGTCTATAGACTGAGGAACAGACATGATGCCAGCTTTGCAATTAGGAGCAGAACTCTCTCAAGTGTAAAAAGACATCTGTTTTTTTCTTACTTTGAGATTTTTGCAGCTCCCCAAGTTGCCAGTGTAGTTCCTGAGAACTTTGAAAAGATGTGTCTTTGGAGGGATGGTGTTGTGCCACCTTCTGATTGCAATGCTGGTGCTCATCTATTTCTTCCCCCTGCAACCCAGGTTGAATTCCTTTGGGACCATATTTTGTTTGGTTCGAAATCCGCAGCAAGCGCAGCCTTCCATCCTTCCAGGCTCTATGTCCTGTGATCCAATGCAACCTTAGAGGACCAGAAAATAATAACTCAACTGTGAATCTGGTCTAGGCTTTAGCTCTCCAAGGTTCTGACTCCGTTTCAGGGGTGGGTTTCAGCACCGTAGAAAACGCCTGCAAAGTGTGGACCAAAATGCAGATGGGATTCATTGCTTCTGTACTGTTGGGGGACCCCCATTGTCCTGGAGATACTGGCAACCTGAGATTTCCAGCGTGCTCTACCCATGAGGCAGTCTCCCTCTCTAGCAAAATGCTTTGTGGCTTCCTGGACTCATGCCCCCCCCCCCCCCCCCTCAAT